AGCTCCCCCCGCTGTTAGCGCTGCCGCGTTCCCCTGCTGTTGCTTATCACTTCTTAATACTGTCGCTTCTTAATACTGTCCTTTTTGGCAGAAGGCGGCTCTGCTTCCTTCCGGGAGAAGGGAGCCTGGAACTGTGGCAAGGTTGTAATTCAGCTGAAAACTCCGGTTTTTGGCATCACAAAAGTAGTTTGTTTTTTCTGCAGAACCTGCAGTGTTGGGGAGAGGGTGGTTATGACAATTGGTTCTGTTAAAGCAGTGACTCAGGTGAGATTTGTGAAGCCTTTTGCAAGCTAGCAGCGTGCAACCTTTTAAAAGGTATACCAAACACAAGAAACACATAACCTCAGCTGGCGCCGAGGAGCTGAAACAATCGTCGCTTCTCGGTCACATGTCTGTGCCCTACAAAAACACCTTACCCAAATGTTGTTGTTTTAGAAGATGTGTGAGAGAAGGAGCAGGATGCAGACACCAAGAGCTATCCTGGAGGCCTGGGAATCTAGCCTTGAAAATGAGTAAATTGGTAACAGGATACATAGTCTTATACTCCGCGCTAAAACCACTCGTAAAGCTCCCAGGTTTGACTGCTTGGAAACAAAAGGGATCGCAGGAATTGTTCTGTTCTGCTTCAAAGCAAACACTACACAGAGAAAGGTCTTGTAAGTCACACTGAGAAATCTTTTCAAAGCCTGGGGATGGAGTCATGCTATAATACATTCTGTTTCTGTACCCAAGGCACTCTCGTGCACAAATGTTTACATAAATGTTATATATAAACATTCAACTAGTTAATAGTTGTATTGCTTTTCACATTTTTGTAAATAAAACATAACTGAGAACTAATCCTAGAACCCCAGACTTTGTATAAGTAGGAAGACTTACAAAGAAAAGTTTCTCTTAACTATCCGCTGTCACTTCATCCATCTATTCAACGTTTCATACAACGCAATAAAATGTATCCAATATTTGAAACACCAGATTTGTGCAGGAACCCCACCATATATTCTGCTGCTACCATACTTTTAAGCAAAGAATCCTGCAATTCAGAGTTTGCTTTGACCTGTATTGTTTTACCACTAAAATACTGATAAAATAATGCTTACCTTAAAATCAGTGTTTATTTTCAAGGCACAGTATTTCCTCATGTCAAAAGTTAGGCTACTTTTTTGCTATTAGTACCTGAACATAAGGTAAAGATAATATTGAAAATGTTTTTTTTTAATTTGTTTTTTCTCTTTTGCTTAAGGATTTAATAACAGATAGTAAAAACTAATAACAAAGGCAAAAAAAGAGTGCAACAGCGAGACAGTATTTGTAAGACATTCTGTAGCCGTTATAATCTGATGGTGTTTTCATTGGTCATTTTTTTGGCTCCTTTCGCTAGAGTGAGAGCAGTCAAAGAGGAAATCATAAAATTTGGTAATGCTAACTTTAAAAAAAAAAGTCTGCTTCTAGGTCCTCCAGGTTTCAATCTAGCAAATGAAATATTCCATAAGCAAATTTAGGCCTGGATCATATACCTCGGTCATATCTTGGGTTATAAGCGCACAGTATTTTCTGTAGGAGTCTTATCCATTCTTTGCCAAATAGAACATAGCTGCACAGGGAAACAAAATCATTTGCTCATTCACTGAAGTCTTGCTTACCCTAAGCTGTCTTCCATATTTGACTCAGGATTGCAAAGATACGGCCTTCAGATACAAAACTAATTTGTGGAATGTCATTTGCTGAGTATATGAGGCATTTGAAGATTATCTTTACATTCTAATACTTTGTCTGACTTGTTCATGGAATTTTACCTGAGAAAAGGGAAAGGCCAGTAACAGTCATGCCTGAAATGCAATCTGACTAGGGAGAAAACTGAAAGGTTTCTGGGCAGAGGTTATATGTAGACAACATATAATACTGGTAGGTGTCACTGGGGAGGAATTTCTTGTAAGCTATTCATTTTTTTTATTAAGTTAACTGACATTCTTTCATCAGTGTAGTTTATGATGTATCTGAGTCTGGATGCATTAAACTAAACTACTCCATTTCAATTTGGTGAAGATTTTTCCTGTTTAAGACACTCCCAGCTTCCTCTTTTTCCATGTCCCTTCCTTTAATCTTCTTCTCCAACTCCCCCTTGCCAAATGGAAGGAGTGAACTGCGCAGAAACACCAGAGTTCATTTTTAGGAGTTACCTGTTGTGAAACACTAAGCCTGAGGTATGTACTTCCCTGCAGCAGATGAACAGGTTAGTAAGTTCAGATGCTGTTTACGTGACACTCTTGAAGTCTAGCAAGAAGTTTGCTGAGAATAAAGTAAAGCATTTCTTAGCCTCTTCCCCACTCTGCACCCTCCTTTCTCGCCTAGTAAAACAAGCATCATGGGAGTAAATTTAGGTCTTGATCTTAATAACCACATTTAATTGCCACCCACATAGATGACACCTGTCCTTATAAAAGGTCAGTTATCAACAGGTGCAGTAATTCTAGCTTTTAAAAAATGTAAAAAATTTAAAAAGTAAATGTATGGGAGAACTATGATTGTAATGATAAGCACAGTGGCTGTCCTGCTTTCGTTTCTCTCTCAATATGCATGTGAATTCATTTATCTGTCTTCTGTTCCTGTAAGACAGTGAATTTAACCTCAACAGATCTAGCTGAAAATGAGATAAATATTACAGAATTTATTTTCTGAAAGTGTTCCTATATGAGTTATGGTAATTCAGTAAGATCAGTGATCAAGCAGGGTGTATGGGACCATGATACTTTCTCAAGCATCCTTCCCATAAATAGTTTCCTGTGCTGGTTTCATTTGCATTTCTGACATGCTCAGAATGACATACATAGTGCTAGTTAGAGTCAGTGTTTGCTGCAAATAAAATGAACAATTTACATAGATAGAAGTGATATTTAAAGTTGAATAGCATGGGTCTGCAACTATTGCACTAGTTACTCTTTATATATTGAAGATTCTTGTTACCGCAACAGGGCTGGTAGGTTTCAATGAGTTTACATTTTGAAATATAAATGGGCTGCTACCACGAAAGAAACATTAGCTTCCCAGACTGGCCAAGTCAACTTTAAAACCAAACCACAGACCTCTTATGCAAGAAAGTAAGAGTTTGTGTAGTTCTCTACCATAAATACTGACTTCATTCTGATGTTGGTCTTAGGATCTGAAAATGCTTGTGAAAAGACTTCATTTATGTTTCTGCGACAAGAGTTGCCTGTGAGATTGGCAAACATAATGAAGGAAATAAGCCTGCTTCCAGACAACCTCCTAAGAACACCTTCAGTTCAGCTGGTGCAGAGCTGGTAAGAACAGTGTCATTTCATACCTTTAAGGGTGACCTTCTGTACATACACAAGTTGGAGCAACTCATTCTCTTCTATAAAAAGAACATTTCATGTGCTCGTTACATGAACATCACTTACTTAGACTGAGTAAATATCCCAATGTGACATAAATCAGAAACTAAGTTTACAGACTTGGAAAAAAAACTTTAGGAGCAATTAGAGAACCCACAAGGGAATTAAAAATCATAAAGTATTGCAGATAGTCATGTATGAGAATTCAGTAAAAACAAAAATCCACCAGAACAATGTTTAACAGGGGACTTACTTAAAATGAAGAAGCTAGTTGAAGAAACCAACAGAAGCAGGCTAATGCACAAAATGCTTGCAAAAGGTAGTAGAAACCATTTAAAAGACAGGTTATTGCAGATCAAGAGTAAAGGTGTAGCAAGTACGAAGAAAGAGCGATAGGAAGCTGCCAAAGCCAAAATATGTAAAACAACAGAAGAATACGAGGCTAGTAAAATAAAAAAGACATCCTTGGAAAAGTAAAATTTGCTTTCAAGTAAGGAACTTACACATAAGCATAGACTTTTGTAAGATGAAAGCAAAACAAAGAGATTGCTTGGCAACTGCTAAAGGCACATGGCTATCTGGAAGGGCTTTTAAAGTTAAGAGAGCAGAAGACCTGCCAGTGAATAAGTGGGATTGATTAGATGACTGAAGAGTTACCAGTGAAGATGAAGGCTCTTAATGAAACATGAATGCTTAAATTCTCATGATACTAAATGACGTTGATCAAATGGGAAATGAATTCTACTTGGACAAATGCCAAGTAGAGCACAGAGAGGAACCTCCTCTCCCTGTATGCTTGCTTGCTTACAATGGAAAAAGCAATTTTGATGCTACTGGGAATATTTTTCTGAATATGTCAGTTGAGATGGGCAAGAAGGCAAATAGTGTTAGGAACTAAGTAACAAATGGGGAGGAATATAATTGTACCGCTGTGTTTTAGCCCATTATTCCTCTGAATTGCATGCAGTTTTAGTCACTTCATCCTGAACAGAAAAGACCAAGAGGGATAATCAGAGGGTTGGAACAATTTCTACGTGAGGAGAAACCAAATAGAATTCTTCAGCTTGGAAAATACACATCTAAGGAAAGAGATGGCAGAAATACTTGAATCGTGAACAAGCTGGGAAGATTTTCTAGTAACAGGAACTCGCTGGGGCTGCAAATAAGCGATCACCTACTGGGTTTAAAACACAAGGAAGATCTTTTATGCATTCTAATGAAATTGTGGAATTCATTGCTCTGGAAATTTTGGAAGAAAACATCATGAATAGATTCAAAAGGATCTAACAAAATTCACAGGGGACAGGTCAATGGCATATATCAAATACAATGATTTGGAAACAAGCAACCTTGGAAGACCATAAAGTGCTAACCAAAGGGATCTGGGGAGGCATATTAGAATTGGTCTTTGTCATGTTTCTTTCGTTTGAAGGTATGTCCAAAGTCTTCAGGAGATCCTTGACTTCAAGGACAAAAGCTCAGAGGATTCAGGGGCTATTCATAGGTAAGGATTTACTGTCACATGTTAATATTATGTAGAAGGACTGGCAAGAAAACAATAGCTTCAGAAAAATTTCAGCTATCTCCAATCTTTACGTAAGAATTGCGGTAACGTCACCCCGTCCCTAAAAGGAGGGTATGTTAAAACACGAAACAAAGCACTTTTATACCATATCATTCTGGTCAGGGCTTTTTTTTGTTACACTGAAGAAGCTACGAATATTAAACTTGACCAAATGTTTACCAGTTCCTTACTTGTAATGTTAGAACTGATGTATGGAACTTTTTACCTGTAGAGTAGGTTTGGTCATCGTTGGCTGACCGTAACTGCCATTTGACAGGCATGGACTGATCTGCATGAAAATGGTTGGCACAGTTTTCTCTTTTTCTGGGCAGTAATCAAGATAATAACTAATAATTTAATAAATAATCAATAATGATTGATTACTGATTGTTTCAATGCTAGTCACTTGAAATACACTGTAAAGACTGACCTGTCTTCTTATTGCCTTAAGCAGACCTGTGTGATTTCTGTACATAATGGTCTTCATTTTTGTAGGCAAATACTGTTTGCCAGAGTATTAAAATCACCTGGAAGTGAAATACTAACAATGTATTAATTTTAGTTTTACAGATATTGTGATAAAAATCCGGAATCGACACAATGATGTAATTCCTACAATGGCTCAAGGAGTAATAGAGTACAAGGAAAGCTTTGGCATTGATCCAGTGACCTCACAGAATGTGCAGTATTTTTTAGACCGTTTCTACATGAGTCGCATTTCAATTAGAATGCTCCTTAATCAACACTGTAAGTTCCATTGTTGAAAGGAGGGGAAATGATACCTGTACTATGTCAGTATATTTTCCTTTCATTTTTAAGTGCTTAATATGTACTTACATGCTTCTTAGGAGTACACTATTTGCCTTGCTATTTATAAACTCATTCTTAACACAATTCTTAAAATATTTATTAATAGTAGGCTTTCAAGTATGGTGAAGATTGGAATTATAGATTGCCTATAAATTTCTATTTAGCAAAACTGAAGACACAAACTAAAATTGTAAAATTATATTGGGTATTAGATAATATTTTCTTTTTTGGCAGCTTTACTGTTTGGTGGGAAAATTAATCCAGCTCATCCAAAACACATTGGAAGCATTGATCCTAGCTGCAATGTTGTTGAAGTCATCAGAGGTAAATTCAGCAGATAAGAACAAGAATCCTGAAAACTTACATGAATGTCTATACTGAGAGCCAATACACATCTTTGTATTCATATATGGTTTAGTTCTTTCCTACCTGGAGCAGAAGTTTCTTTTAAAGTGTAATACAGTTTTGTCACTTCTCCCTATAAACCCAGTTTTTGTGAGAAAATACAAAATCTCGCTGACAGTGCACAGTGTTTTCAATTTTTGTTTTTCTTTTTGGCAAACTGTAAAGGAGAAAAAAAAAGTGGAGGGGGGAATGTAATTTTCTGTGGTTTTATTATAGATGGCTATGAAAGTGCCAAGAGACTTTGTGATTTATATTACATGAGCTCTCCAGAACTCATCCTTGAAGAGTTGAATGGTAAGTGAATATGAGATGAGGCACTCTCTTCAACATAGTGATGACTTCTTCTAAAGTAGCTGGTGGTGAAATGTTCTCCTTCCACTTTTCATACAGTTAATGTGTTCTCTATATCTACTGTCATAGTTTGGTTTTTTTGGTTTTGTTTGTTTGTTTGTTTTTTAAAAAACCTGGCAGAAGGCTTTCCCTATTCCTAACTTTAATTAGAAAGAAATCAGTAGAAAAGTTTTTGACACAACAGCTGTTGATAAAACAGATTTTAGCAGCCTCCTTCCCTCCCTAAGGTTTCTTGTATGTCTTCACCCTACACTGTCTATTGCATCTCACGCTTCCTGCATTTCTTGTGACACTTTTAAGATTTATACTAAATATTCCATTCTAATTTCTCTTGCTTATTCAGCTATCACATTCTTGTAGTTGTAATGAGATATAGTACACTCAAGTCATGGTAAAAATTATTTGAACCCATTGGCTGTGGCTTGAAAAAACAGTTTACAACTGTGTTGCTATCAA